AACAAAGTAAGGATGAAAAGGACTGTTTTCAACTGTTCAGGGCAAAATATGAGCATTTTGCAGTTGATTCTGAATTTTTATGCGGGCGAATCCGTTAAACAAGAAATTAAATTGGTGTGGCCTAAGATGTAAATTGTCATTGTCTCTTGCATTTTTTTTTCTCAAGACCTCTGAAAATGAAACTTCAGTTTAGAATTATAGAGTTTATGATTTTATGGTTATGATATTGTGATTTGGTGGTAAAAAAATTTGTTATATATCTTGCTAATGATTGTAATAATTGGTAATACTTTAAAGCTGGGTTGAAAATGATGCTGCAATGTAGGTTGCTACTGCCTGAGTCTGCTATGTGGTGTAAAAAATAAATTTAAAGTTCTTCCTCCCCCCCCCCGTTAAAGAGCCTGATGTATGTGAAGTAGTGACTGTTACTACTAATCTCTAAGCAGAATTTTTGGTGGCTGAATTTTTTTTGTGAAAGTGGCAGGGCAGTATCCTGTTACCATTCATTTGGCTGGCATGTAGGAAAGATACCAGACAAAGACTGAATAAAACCCAATGAAAACACCTAAAAACATAAGCCCATAAACCCTAAATCTCTGCTTGGAGAGTCTCCGTCTGCTACAAGTCTCAGTCTGCTATGTGATGTAAAAAATGTTCTTATACGTTGTACTATCATGAAAGTTCATCTGTGTTGGTAGTTACATGTTTAAAGTTAAAACTTTTGTTCCAAGACAACAAATTCTCTCACCTAGAGCTTTCGACCAGTCACTCTGGTCTTCCTCAGTAGACTGACCCAGTGAACTTACATTGAACTGCGACGGGGGTCGACATCGTCTACCGGATACCTTTGACCCAGTGTTGACGTCACACTTCAAAGAAGCCATGTGACAAGCTTCACTGGGTCAGTCTACTGAGGAAGACCAGAGTGACTGGTCGAAAGCTCTAGGTGAGAGAACTTTTTGTGTTGGAACAAAAGTTTTAACTTTAAACAAATAAGAGTTCTTCTTTGTTTTTCCCTGTCAGTTGAAAAGCCTGGATGGTTACATCAGTAGCCTGATGTATGTGAAGTGGCGGCGGCTGATCTGCCACAGACTCCACCAGAAGTACTTCCAGGACACGGTGTACTACCAGCTTAACGTACTGCAAGGGGACATGGACAATCCGTAAGGACCCTTCTGTTTGTTTGTTTTCTGTTTTGCATAAACAGTAAATCACCTTTATTTGATGCATTTACTGTTATGACCTATGAAGCAAAAAAAGAAATAATGGCAGTGGCTTCTGAACAGTTTTCTTGGCATGATCTATACTTCCCTGGATTGTAGTGCAGGTAAAATTTGTCTGGTCCAGGTTTTCAATATTACCTACAGCGGTACAGGTATGCAGAAAAAAGTAACAACATAACAATTGTTGTGAAAGTTGATTGATATTTCTTGTTGTTGTTGTTGTTGCTTTTCTGTCCAGGGACCAAAGAATCAGCCAGGATGTGGAGAGGTTCTGTAAACAGTTCAGCCTGATGATAGCTGTGATTGTCATATCTCCCTTCACCATAGGATATTACACATATCAGTGTTACATAAGGTTGGTGTTTAGCATCAAGCCTAATATAAGTCCACATAAGTACATATAGTTTTGCCAAATGAATTGCATGTGATTCACTTCTTCTTCGATGTTTTCCTTTTAATGTTTGACATTCAAAAATGTAAATCATTTGTCAAGAGAAGAATATCTCAAAGTCCAGGGATAGGACTATATTTAATTCATCTAATGGAGAGTTAGGATATAAAGAGGACAACTATTTCATTGTTCTGAAAAGTGTTTTGAAGGATTGTCTCTCTGTGCTGCATGTGTTGATGTTGCTTGTAGTGATGTGAACTAAGTTAATGTTTAAGTACTGCTCCACCTACAGAATGTACACACCCCCAGCCCATGTACTAGTAACGGAAGCTTTTTGATGTTTGAGCTAGCCCTCCTACAATGGTTTATTGGCCAAACATCACCCGTGCAATCGCAACCTTATAGTGCTGAATTGATGCAGGGTTTACAATGGTACAATGATGCAAATGGTAATACACATAATAATACACATAATACTTATGATACATGTTTGTTCCACTTTTTTGTGGAACTGCCGCAAGGGTCTGTGCGGCTGCCATTCGGCACCACAAGGTGACCTCAATACGGCTTTCCCCAACCAAAGTTAGGTACCCATTCACACCTGGGTGGAGTGAGGAAAGTTGTGTAAAGTGCCTTTCCTAAGGGCACAACGTCGGGCGCATGTCCAGACATGTCCCAGGTACGACCCGGAATCGAACCTGGGTCTCCCGGCTCACAGTCTTATCTACCATTATGCCACCCTTCTACAAGCGGGTAGAACCAGTGAATACAGTCATGAAAATCCCTTTGACGCGAGATCTTCCTTGAGTGTTTGGGAGAACACAACATTGCTGATCTGTTGTAACTCTGTGTTCCAGTTCCAACTGTGCCTGAGGTTTGCTCGTTCTCTCACAAGCAGTGAGAAATACCGTAATTGGCTGCCAGCACAAAGGGGGGATGTACATAATAGATCACTCAGGAACAGCACGAAACTGACACAGTTTAAGTGCCGGACACAGTGCATGCTACAAATGTAAACAGTACACTACCCTTTTGTGTCCACATGCTGAATAACAGTTACTGTAAGTCGTGATGGTAGTGATTTTATTTGATTTTAATAGGATTTATGACTTGTTTTAATTCTTACTTGCAACTATGTATTATTAATGCTAATAAGCCTAATATTTCTGTGTAAGGAAACCGCAATTCAGCACTTGTGCTGCAAAGATTTTTTGTTGAATAAACCATTCTCTCTCTCTCAAACCATTCTCTCTCCAGTACTGGCTGGCAGGGTCCTGTCAGCATCTTTGTGTACTTCGTGACGGGTACAATCATCAACAAGTTCATCATGTCCCCCATAATCAGGCTCCTGGTCAGGCAGGAGAAGCTGGAAGGAGACTTCAGGTACATTTCAACAGTTTTCCTTTAGAAATGGTGTTGAATGCTTTTGAGCTATGTAGAATCAGCACTTTTATTATGTTTACCTTTGCAGAAGGAAGACATATTGTTTTTGCTCCATTTATCCTTCTTCTTCTTCCCCAAGTATATAATGTCAATGACCTGAAACGGACCTCTGTCCCCATGGTAACTGGTGCTGTGTCAGCCACCCTGTGGTGTTGGATTACATTATGTAGCAAGTGGCAGAACAGGGTTGGATGGGCTGGTCACCATATAAATGAATGTGTTTGAGTAAGAATAAACAGAGCAGTAGTTTGTAGACCATGTGAAGGTTAACATTGTACATTTGCTTTGCATAAGACAGCACATCTTCTATTTTCACCAATCTTACGGTATGTAATTGTATTATATGCAATTTGTATATAATATTGACCACAATTTGTTGACCCTATGTAATTAAGACATTTTTAAGAATTTATATCACTTGTATGTATTTAACCACACTTTTTCCCCAGGGCAAGCCCTTAATAATAGCTTCAAGCTAGTTGGGCTGCCCTGGCTGTGTTGTATCAGCCGAACCAATAAATAAATAAGTTCGATGTGAAATACATGTTTGAGGGCATGGTTAAATCTGACAGGATCTTTGTAGGGGATAGGTTTCAATTATTAAAAAGATCTGGTTTAAGTTTCTTGTCATCTATTCTCCAGGTTCAAACACATGCAGATCAGAGTGAATGCTGAGTCAGCAGCATTCTACAGGTAGGAATTGAACTTTTCCCCCTAAGGCCATGTTGATTTGATTATATGGATGACATCCTCCGGGAGCCCCAAAACTGATGCGCGCGTGCGAATAAAAAAAAAAGTTTTGACAAAAAAAAAAGTTACTTTTACAATTAATGAAATCTACGTGGTCATGAGGGTTGAGCAAATGGCACAGAATATGGTTTGGCGAATAATCTAGTCTTCAAGTTCATTTCTTTACAATTTCGTCTTTTTTGTTTGATTTTGGCTTTCTACGACATTGGTATAGTTTTTATTAATATTTTTGTAACTTATGGTATATTTTTTGCT